GAAATTTAAGACCTGGGTGAGCCCCAGAGAAAAGCGGGAAGGGAAACCTTCCACCCCACACTCCGCCCCACCCGCGGCCACGTACCTCGGCTGGGGCAATGCGGAACGCCTCGGCGATTTTAGCGTAAAGCTCCTTCACACTGCCAAAGCCTTCTACGCGCCCGGTGGGGCTGCCGTGCGCCAGCTGCGTGTGGAAGACCAACCGGACGGGACCGCGCGAGGCTGCGGAACCCACCGCTCCGGCACGAACGCCGGCCCCGACCTCGTCGTCGCCGGGCCCTCGAGCTGGGGGAGCCTCTCCGTCCACCAAGGTGGAGGTCTCCTTGGACTTGCCTTTCTTCTTTCTCCTCAGCCCCAGAGGCATCTTCCCAGCCCGCCCACCGCAAACTAGCGGCCAGAAACACCTGTGCGGCGTGGCTGCTCTTTCCAACTTGGCTGAACTCTGCCCGCTCGGACTCCGAGCTCTCGCCGCACTTCCCGCTTTAGCCGTCGCCCGGCAGGTGGGACAAGCAGGTGGCAGCCAATGGGCGAAAGGGGCTTTGGGCCCGGGAGCAATTTCGCGCCCGACGCCCGCGGGCTTCTCTTTTCCTCTTCAGTGCTGTTTGTGTCAGCCGCTGAACTGTAGAGGGTCGTCGCGAAGACCCTGTGGCATAAGATTTATTCACAGGTGCGGGGTTTTTTCTTCTTCTTAATTGTGGCCGTCCATCTTCAGACTACAACTCTGGGCAACTAACCAAAGATTTTTAAAAATAATTTAAAAAATACAAGTACAGTGGTAAAAAATGTCGAGGCCAACCAAAACGCAAAGTTGGCTGCTGAAGACATCATGCTTGCCACAAGAATTGGGCTCAATTAGTCCCTCATCCCCAGGAAAACAGCCAGATTTTTAGGGTTTGTTGGCATGCTTCCTGGGTCTCCCCTAGATGGCAGTTCCTACTACAATGCAGATCTACAACACCCAGAGCCCCTTACTTGACCTAGTGGGATGGGCATAAGTAGATGGGGTAAGCCCTTCACAAATTCCCTAGGCAGTCTAGTGATGGCGAACCTTTTTGTTATGGTGTGTCAAAAGCGCGCATGTGCCAGCACTCACAATGCAATGCGCCCCGCCCCCACGCATGCGTGCACAACACCCCCCCCGCCCCATCACCTGCACTGCGCATGTGCATGCCTCCCAGCTGATTTTCCGCCCGCTTGAGGCCATTTTCGCTCTCCCAGAGGCTCAAGGAAAGCCTCTGCAGCTTCGGGAGGCCAAAAAACAAACCTTCCAAAAAATACTGGAAGTACCCATTTTCAGGCCTCCAGGGGGGCTCTGGAACTCGGGGGAGGCAGTTTTCACCCTCCCAGAAGCTCGAGGGAAGCCTCTGGAGGCTGAAAACAGGCCCGTTTCAGCACTTTCGGTATTTCCAGAAGGCCCGTTTTTCGGCCTCCCAAGCTGCAGAGGCCTCCAGGAGGGTGAAAACTGCCTCAAATCAGCTGGGAGACGCGCGCATGCTCAGTGCAGGTAAATCAGCTGGGAGACGCGCGCATGCTCAGTGCAGGTAAATCAGCTGGGAGACGCGTGCATGCTCAGTGCAGGTAACCCTAGGCTGGGGCTCACTTGCCTGCACAAATGACTCTGCATGCCACCTGTGGTTCACCATCACGGCCCTAGACCCATGTGACAAAGTGCCTTGAATTGAACCAATACCTTGAATTACACCCAGAAGTAAGGATAGGCAGCTACCTTTAATTTAAGCACACCTACATCGGCTTTATTTCAAAATCAATCATAGGAATTTATTTGGATGACTGCTTCCTCAGTTCTTTGGGGATTAAATTTCATAGAAATCAAAGTCTTAACCTTCTTAAAAACGATCATATTTGTAATAGCTTAAAACAGAAGGGTAGTTTTATACATGCGTTTTACTATGACTTTCAAAAAATATGTTTGAGATGTATTAAACCAAGCAAACTTATTTTACTATTTCTAATGCAAATCTGTGGGTGCCTCTTTTGCACTTTCTTCAAACAGAAGGCTTTTAGTTTGAATTGTTATTTTGCAATTGCCTTTTCTGTTGCATAAAATGGAGGGGAGAAGCAAAAGTGAAGTTGACCTTTCTAGGTTTTATTTAAACATCTGTTATGGAAGAGGTGGAATGATTGCACAATATAACTTGACCGTATTAACAAGTATTCAGAAGCAAACATTGAAGGCCAAAATTAATTTTCAGCAAAATGAGAAATTCTCTGAATCAGTAATAAAGAATGGTATAACTAAATTTATAATTAGCAGATCAGTGATGCATAACAACAACAAAAAATGCTCCCAAAAGCCTTGGCTACAGTTCTTAAAGCCTTCCAAAAATGTTTTGGGAAACATTGGAAGGTTCTATTTTTCCTTCTGAATTATACTGATCTAGCCTTTCTTGATTTAATCCAATATTAATCTTCCCAGCAATAGCTAGACTGGTGTGGTCTAAAAGAAACATCGAATATTCCAATGTTCTGTGGAACATTCCATTCCCGGAATTGTACATTTTACAGAATTCCCAAAATTTTTCATATGATTTGCATATTTCTGCTAGTTATTTTGCATCATTGCAGTTTTCTGTTCAATAGTTTTTTCATTTTAATAATCTCTTTATCATTTATTTATTTTCATTAATCAAACTTGTAAAGCCAGGTCACCATTACCTCATCTACTGCTAGAGTATGCTCATACTGCCAGATCTGGTGAGATAGGCTGAAACCACTGGGGAGAGGCAGACCTGCCAGTAACGTAATCCCAGATCATCTAGGGCTTTAAAGGTGACAACTATACCTTGAATTGTACCCTAGAACTTGCAGGCTCATGTGGCAGTCATGTTATGTGCATGCACCACGATGTGGCCAATGCTGCTCAGCCTGCTGCATTCTAATCCAACAGAAGGTTTTTCAAGAACCACCCAATGAAAAGGGTGTTAGAATAGTCTGATAAGGAGGTAATTAAGGCATGAGGAAGCACAGGATTTAAATGCAATAAATAAAAATGTAGGCATTATATTCAGGACAAACCAGGAGCTTGTTATAGAATATTCACCTATCATATAAATTCTACTTCCACAAAACATTACCCTTTATTTAGATCAGATGACGACTGTGGGATTATCATATGGTCACTTTGATAGTTACACAGTCTCTTAATACTAAAATATATTAATGAATTTACATCTAGACAAAATAGTTTTTGCGAGAACACAACCACTGTAGTTTGCAAATCATGGATTATAGTCTAGTATTATGTGTAAATACAACTGATTTATGCAACAAAACAGGAAACTTTAAAATGGTCTTATTTTAGTATAACATATAAATACATTCATTTAATATACAATCTTGAACTTTCTTATCTTGTTAATACCATAGGTTTCGCTGGGATTTACTCTTAATAACAGAATAGAGCAGTGTTTCTCAACCTGGGAAGCTTGCAGATGTGTAGACTCCAACTCCCAGAATTCCCAGAATTGAGAAACACTGGTATGGTGCATTATGATTTCTGTACTGTAGGTACATGTTATGTTTCAAATGTCAAACACAATTTTCCATTTGCTCTCATGCATCAAATTGACAATTGGAGGAAAAAAATTAGAAATAATAGTTTAATGTTTAAAAATATGAAATGCAATACATTATCATAAAGTATATTTAAATACATTTGCAATATGACAAAGAAAAAGTAGTAGTTTTCTTGTTCTCATTTTTAGAATCATTAAAAATTGTTTCATAGATTCTTTCTAGTTTCAGAAAGGGGTGTTATAAGGTGCTCAAAAAAGGTTTTTTGCAGAACATTTTAGCATGAATAACATTTTGCTTCAAAGCATTAAAGTAACGTCCTTTGCAAGGCACATGCAACTGGTCTGAAAGCAGTCTTTGCTTACTCCACATGCTGGTGTCCCAGCAAAAATGTTCTGTGTATGAGCATGCAGACAACTGGGAAGTTTCTGAAGAAGCTATATGAGATTTGAAAAGAAGACAACTGTTTTAATACTTTGAAAACTGCTTTGTGAAATACCTTTTTCAAATGCTTTCCATAGCCCTGGTTTAAGGTTGCACTTTTGTCAGTTTACAGCCTTTGTACTAAATTCCATAAAAAAAATTCCCATTCATTCAGGAGTCATTTTTAAAGTGTGTCTTCCCACTATCAATTACTGCACCTGTTTTGGATTTTAGTATATTAGTTTTAGAAACTTGGCATCATTAACTTTTTACATAATTGTTAAACATCCTGTCACTTAGAAGTGCTATCTAGCACATTTTGACTTAAAAATATGAAGCTTTATTATAATTGAAGATAATTTCACGAATGTTTCCATTTGACCATATTACAAGATAAGTAGTGTTGTCTTAATTTTAATACTGCTCAAGAATACTAGTTGGGATATGTACATCTTTGCAAAAATAAAGTTTCCTTGCTTTTTCTTCAAATAATTAATTACATATTCATAAAAACTTCAGTTTCAATTTACAGTTCACAGAATTTGCAAGAATACTAAACTTGAGAAAGATTGCAATCCTGACTGAATTAGGCTAATTATTCAGTTGATGCTTATAAGTATGCCGCTTCATGAAATATAAGTTCCAGAGAGCATTAATGCATTTTCACAATTTCTACCTGGAAATCTATTAGGCCAAAAACAGTACGCCATCAAATTTTATTTTCTATTAGGTCACTATGTTTACCACCAGGATAATGGAGTAAAGGAATTCACAGACTAGTACAATGTAAAATTCACTTCTTCTTTGGGCTCATAAACATTTTAAGTGATATTACTTTCTTGCTGCTGTGCAAAAGGTAATGCAGCTTAGAGTATATACATAAAATAAATATTGCAAATGTTACACAGATTCATATAATGAATTCTAATACTGTGATGTTTTAACTCACAGAGATAATCAGGATTATCTGAACTAAAGTGCTTTGCAAAGTATGCACTTTATTAGAAATACAGATGGAGGTGTTCCCTTTTTACCCATGATTACATGGACACAGAATACTGGATAAAGTGTTTTGTAAAGAAAGATTCAACACACAGTAAGTATTATTAGCCTTATACTTGGTTGCAAGTCTTTTGTACTCCAATTCTCATGCAACACTGCATAATTCACTTTCCTACCTGCGCACACAAAAGAAACGTTCAACAGTTATAGACTGTACTTTTACAGCATTAACCTGAAAGTCCTTGATGTTCAGTATCTATTAGGAACAGTTCACTGACGTATGTTTCTTATGATACAGGAAGATTTCTCCTGAGTACTTCTTTTGAGGCTGGAGCTATATTATCTGGGAAAATTACTTCAAATTCTATAATTAAGTCACCTCGTTGTTCATTATTTTTAGGAAATGGTAAACCATATCCTATAATTCTTCTTCTCATTCCAGGCTTTACAACTTCATTTATTGTCATAGGTATTGTTCGGCCTTCTATAGTTGGTATATTGATTGAGGTGCCACATAAAGCCTGGAAAATAGTAAATTGAAACAATTAAGAGCAGCATATTTGTTATTTCTTCAGGCTTCATAACGATAAATAATATTTTTAAATAAATGTCAGCATAATTTATTCAAATGTAAATGCCACTATGTTGTATCTTTTTTTGTAAGTGGGGAGTTGCCATAAAACAGTTGAACAGTTCAGTATATAAATACCATTTGCAATAAAGAGAATATAGTACTTTACCATTTAGCAAAATGTGCAAAGGATGCCTAAATGTAAAGACAGGAGACAGAAACATTGCCAACAATATATTTTCTTTCATAGGTATATTCTGTATACATGACACAAATTTCCACCTCTTACATTTTGATTAATGAAACAATAGTGGCAGCTATATTCATCCCATTTAATAGGAATATCCTGTATATTTAGCCTTGGAATGCAATTGATTGCTAGAACTGTTGGAATGTTCTAACCATGGAATATCCATTTTGATCGTGAACAGGTGTTCTGACAAAAGAAGACAATATTTTGAGGTCAGAATTTTTTAACCTTTAAATATTTGGCACATATTTCCCTAAGCTTAGGGAAGCCAATTTTTCAAACTGATTTTAAAACATTTCTGACATAGTAAACAGCGTCAAAACTTATCAGTCAGTTATTCTTGCTGTGAAATAATATTCTAGAGGTGGAACACTTTATCTTTTTAAAATTCACAATATAGATGTAAATAATGTTCTCTAAGATGTCATTTGCTACCTCTGAATCCCTGCCCCTAGCTCCTTCTAACAGCCCAGCGAGGGAAACATTTCCTGGATCTAAGAGATTGTTAATGTCTCCTTGTGACATTAACCCTAATCTTAACACCAACTCTTGTGAAAAGAGACACATAGCAACTTTAAAGCTACAGGTACTGAACAATTAGTGCCTAGACTTCAATCTTACCATTTGTGGGAAAATTATAGAGACTATGGTGGGATCTCAGAGAAACTCCCAGAGCATTAGTCCAGGGTCTGCTAAGGGTGCACATTATATCTGTACTGCAAGTTCTGCATTGGTTGCCATCAAACTTATGGATGTAATTTTAAAGTTCCAGTGTTAATCTATAAAACCCTACATGCATATTTACTTGCAGGACCACAATTGTCTATCCAGTTTGACCTATCCTGGAAAAACTATTACCATATTTAGTAAGGTAAATTTAGGGAGGTCAGGAAGGCCAAGACTTGTTAGCAATATTGTTCTTCACTTAAAGTGCTGGTCCTTTGAAACAGCCTCCTTGTTAAGATCAAACAATGCTCCAACAGAACATTCTGATATGTGCATTAAGAGTAACTAAATGTGTATTCTGCTACCTTTATAAGGCAAGTGATTATTACAATGGATACATCCTAAATCTATTCATCTAGTTTGCATGCTCACAATAAAAAGTACCAATAAGCATACCTTCTGAGATGTTTTACTGATGGGATAAGAAATTCTATATAATTTTTTTTTAAAGATTTCAAAACATTTATACTGGGCTTATATTGGATAATTTGATGGCTTTGGTATCTTTTTAGATATAGATATACTTTTAGGTAAAGGTAAACATTTCCCTCGCACATACATGCTAGTTGTTTCCGGCTCTAGGAGGTGGTGCTCATCTCCATTACAAAGCCAAAGACGTCTCCATGGTCATGTGCTGGCATAATTAAACACCGAAGGCGCGAGGAACGCTGTTACCTTCCCACCAAAGTAGTCCCTATTTTTCTACTTGCATTTTTACATGCTTTCAAACTGCTAGGTTGGCAGAAACTGGGACAAGTAACAGGAGCTCACTCTGTTACATACTGCTAGGATTCGAACTGCCGAACCGTTGACCTTTCTGATCAACAAGCTCAGCATCTTAGCCACTAAGACACCATGTGTCAACTATAAAAGGTGTATACAAACTGCCAAACTGAGTAACTGCTGGAACCCTGACATCATGTCCCCTTGGGATATACTTTTACTGTATAATTATTTTGTATCTGGTGACTGAAAACTAACAATATATTATTTTTTATTTTGACATAATGTTTGTCTATACTGAACTGACAATATAGACAAACATTATGTATTTGTTTGTTATTTATTTATTAAACTTATCTGCTGCCTATCTTGCTTGGAGACAACTTTAGTTGTCATATAAATATAATTATATCAACATTATATCAATGTTATGATAAAATATATTTGAAATCATTAAAAATAACATGACAGATCAGCATAGATCAGCATGCTCACACAAGCAGAACACTGCTCCTTTGTTCTCACCATAGTGTTATTGTTTTTCTGTGAAAAACATTTCTAATACTTGATGATACATTTCCTTCTACTAGCATTCTGATTATTTTACTTCATAGTGAATTGTTTGCAATTCTATTTGAGGAATGTTCAAGGACAACATATTTAGTAGTACAACATCACATCCTGATATTGCAAATGCCATAAAAATGAAAAGTGCAAGAAAAAGCAGTCTGGAAAACTGGCAAAGTTGGATGATTTATGTGTATAATCGCAGGAGGAAAAAGCAAGGCAGGGTTCAGAGGTAAACCATTAATTGAATAGACAGCTAACAAGATTGGAGTTAACTTTGTGGGAGAAGGATAAAATGCTACAGACTATATTATTTACCATATTAAATTCTAAATTTACATGCCATATTTCCAAATTAAGCTATCAAGACTTCTTATACAAAGTCTTGTATTCTTAAAGAACGTTGATCTATGTCCCGCTGATATATGTCCAACTCAATTGAAAATATAAAACAATATAAATACAAATTGTATAAAGTATTAAAAATCCAATTTTAAACTTAAAAGGGTACTTACCTCCCGTAAACTAATCTTGACAGGGTAGATTATATTTGAACCATCTCTCTTGAAATGAGGATGTAATTTATCTTTAATAACAAACACAATATCAGCTGGGATGGTGTTGGGTGTTTCATCGCCCTCTTTGGGGAATGTAATTTTGGTACCTTCTTTCCATCCTCTTTTAATATCAATCGTAAGGATTTTATCTTCTGTTCTGACACTTCTACCATCTGGATTGAGTCTTTTTCGGGAAATTCTCATTCTTTTTGTACAGCCCTGATAAATCTCTTCCAATGATACTTTCAGTTCATGAATAACAGGAGGATCTTGTTTACGACGGGGTTGATTACCAACCGTGTTTCTTTCTCTTGGAAATCCATTCACACTAAAAGTGGTAAAGGAACCAAATGGATCGCCATCCACTTCCATATCTTCAGTGTCCCTGCCACTAGCCATCCTTCTACCAAAGAACATTTCAAAGGGGTTTGCGCCACCAAAAAATGCTGCAAATGTAGCATGTGGATCTCCATGAAAAGAATAACGGAAAGAACCTCCTTGACCATCTGGGCCACCAGCCCCTCCTTTCAAACCTACAGAAACGTAAGAAATAATAACCAGCTGAAATAATTATATTCATTAACAAAACAATATTGGGCTGAAATCCAGAAAATAGGAAATCAGAATGGCAAGATGAGGGGGGCAGATGACTCTGTCCTTTTTACTGGAGGGAATATTTTGTCTTTTATCAGCTTGAGAAAAAATAATTTATGTTTTTGTGACATCAGGTGGGAAAACCTTGTAACAATAATGCCCTTGTTTATATAGCTAAACTCTAATGAACATAGTTCTATTTCTATATAAACAAACATAGAAGCCTAGAATTAGTGCCATGTTAGTTTTACAGCAAACAGAGTCCTGTAGAATGTTAACAACTCATATAAACTTTTAGTTTAGTCCAAATCTTGTCCTGTCCTGCAAAAGACAAATTATATGCATACATAACTGCTTGGGAATGTGGGAGAAAGGAAAGGAAGTAAGTCTTGAAATACTGAGAGAAATGCTTTAAATATGATCAAACATAAAGTAGTTCGGTGGGTCATAGCCAAGGATGGGATTCAACTGGTGTAATAACCGGTTCGGTGAGTACACAACATTTGAAAATCATCTTCTGCCGCGCAAAGCAGCTGTGGTTGAAAAAGTGGGAAATAAAGGACAGCCTAGAGCAGGGGTGTCCAACCTTGGCAACTTTAAGACTTGTGGACTTCAACTCCCAGAATTCCTCAGCCAGCTTTGCTGGCTGAGGAATTCTGGGAGTTGAAGTCCACAAGTCTTAAAGTTG